GTAGGAAAAAAAAATTCCCTAGCCTCTCCTCACACTGCTTCCCCACCCCTCATCCATCCGCCCATCTACAAGAGGTTTAGGCCCTTTAAAAAATTAAAAAAATTCTTTGAAAAAAGTTTCGAAAAGATTCCTAAAAAATCCCCAGATTCTCCACGGTGTGCCTCCCCCCTCCCACTAAAAATCTATCAAAATCTCTCAAAACATCTCCCAAGCTGAAAAAAGTCTCATGAAAAACTCGACGAAAAAAATCAAAAATTCCCTAGCCCCCCCCCTCACGCTGTTTCCCCACCCCTCTCACATCCTTCCATCAATATGAATGATTTACACCCCTCGTAAGATTAAAAAAACCTTTTGAACAATTTTTTTTCGGGGAAACTCTACAAAATCCCTAGATTCTCCGCGGAGTGCCTTCACCCCGCCGTCACTAAAAATCCGTCAAAACCCCTTGAAAAAATCGAAAATTCCCTAGCCCCCCTCCACGACGCTGTTTCCCCACCCCTCACCGACCTTCATTAATAAGAATAATTTAAGCACCTCAAAAGATGAAAAAAACCCCATGAAAATTTTTTTTCGGGAAACCTTAAAAAATCCCTAGATTCTCCATGGTCCCCTCCACCCGCCCCCGTAAAAATCCGTCAAAACGCCTGGAAATATCTCCCAAGTCGAAAAAAAGTCATGAAAAACTCTAGAAAAAAATTAGAAAATTCTCTAGCGCCTCCTGCCATTGTTTCCCCACCTTCCCATCAGCAAGAATGATTTAGACCCCTCGCAGACGAAAAAAGCCTCATGAAAAGGCAATATCCCAAACAGAATTTCTCCCAATCCTATTTTCCGGCACTTAAGGCCCCCCTCCGGCGCGAGTCTGGGCCCCGGAGGGCCCAACTACAAAGGGCCCGAGGCCCCGAAAGCGCAACGGGTGGGGATGAACGGCAAAAAAGAATCCCGAAAAGTACCTACCTGATCTCGGATATCTCCTCGTAGATATTCTCCTCGGTTCCATATCGTGTAACATAGGTGTGTCTCTTGGACGGTTCTCGCACAGGTATTGCACACTGCATGTGACAATTCCACGTGTGTTGGCCACCCTCCTGATAGCCACCACGACTGTAAAGTAACTGTGAGCTTGGTCCGGGCTCGTAGCATGCATAAGAATAATCCTGAATGAGACGCTGATGCTGTGATGTAGATTGTTCCGCGGTTGGAGGTGGGTATGGTGGTGGGGGTGGAAATTCAAGATTTGCACAGCGCGATGATTGGGGTATCGGGCCCAGGCATGAGCCCGGACAGGCTGGGGACACTGGGGTAGCCATGTCTCATCGTTCGGTGGCGGGTGGAAGAAAATCTGGAGAAAAATTGTTCCGAGTTTTTTTTCTCAATTTTCTCAGTTTTGATGGAGATTGAGGGAAACGTGGGAGAGTTGATTTAAGAGGAAAAAGTCCCTAGGAAGCGTGAAAAAATACTAGGTCATAGAGCAATTTGGAGATAAAGTGTTCCGAATTTTTTAAAGAAATTTCAGGTTTGTTTTGATGGAGATCAAGGGAATAAATGTGGAAGAGTTGATTTAGGATGAAAAATTCCCTAGGAAGCGTGAAAAAATACTAGGTCATAGAGCAATCTGGAGATAAATTGTTCCGAGTTAGAAAAAAAAATTCAAGTTTGTTTTGATGGAGGTTAAGGGAATAAATGTGGAAGAGTTGATTTAGGATGAAAAATTCCCTAGGAAGCGTGAAAAAATACTAGGTCATAGAGCAATCTGGAGATAAATTGTTCCGAGTTGGAAAAAAAAAATTTGAAGTTTGTTTTGATGGAGGTTCAGGGAATAAATGTGGAAGAGTTGATTTAGGATGAAAAATTCCCTAGGAAACGTGAAAAAATGCAAGGTCATAGAGCAATTTGGAGATAAAGTGTTCCGAATTTTTTAAAGAAATTTCAAGTTTGTTTTGATGGAAATCAAGGGAATAAATGGGGAAGAGTTGATTTAGGATGAAAAATTCCCTAGGAAACGTGAAAAAATACTAGGTTATAGAGCAATCTGGAGATGAATTGTTCCCAGTTAAAAAAAAATTTCAAGTTTGTTTTGATGGAGATTAAGGGAATAAATGTGGAAGAGTTGATTTAGGATAAAAAATTCCCTAGGAAACGTGAAAAAATACTAGGTCATAGAGCAATCTGGAGATGAATTGTTCCGAGTTAAAAAAAAAATTCAAGTTTGTTTTGATGGAGGTTAAGGGAATAAATGTGGAAGAGTGATTTAGGATGAAAAATTCCCTAGGAAACGTGAAAAAATACGAGGTCAAAAGGGTCATAAAACAGTCTGGAGATGAATTGTTCCGATTTTTTTTCAATTTTTTCAGTTTTTTTTATGGAAGTTGAGGAAAAAAGTGTGGGAGAGCTGTTTTAGGCAGAATAATTCCCTAGAAATCGTTAAGAAAAACTAGATTGCCTCAACAACGAACGAGAGAACATTTCAAGGTGTTTTCAACCCGTTTGACCAGTGAAATATTACTTGAATAAAAGAAATGATTTAAAACAAATTTTCTAGATGACCAAATTACCCCAAAACCGCCATTATTTCCCTATAAAAATGTAAAAAAAAAACTAGCTGGCCGAAAAATCTAATTTACTCATTTTTCAACCTGTTCCCAACTCATTTGACGAGTGAACTGACCAATAAAAAATTATAGGTCGAAATGAAGTCCCAAAATCCATTATCAAAAATGCATTATCCCCACAATATCCCTAGAAAACGTAAAAAAAAAATAGATCGCCTCAGCAATGAATAAGAGAACATTTCCAGGTGTTCTGAACCCTTTCGACGAGCAAACTGTTATTCTAATGAAAAATAAAAAGTTCAAACGATAATAACCCCTGAAAAAATTCCCCATCAAAAACACAATTACCCCAGAAATCCCGAAAGCCGAAAAACGAAGTGACCTTTAAGCAAAAAAATTGGCAAATAAAATTCTCGTCAAATCGTTCTCACGATCGTTTCAATCTTACGTTTATCAAACATTCCCAGAAGTATTTACAAATAAATCAGGCACTCTAGCACGAGTACAATATACTCATTGAAACAGAGAGGCCAAAAGAGAGGGGAAAGTCTCGAAGGACACGAGAGTTCGTGACCCCAAATGAACGAAAAAGAAAAAAAAGGTCGGAAATATTGAGATAGAGACGAGGCGAAAAATAAATCGTTTAAAAAATCCACAAGATGATTTTAATGATCTAGATATATGGATCACTCACCAGTTGTCCATCCTCGGGCGTCCATTTTTACCCCCCAAAAAACTCGTGGAATTCCCCAGATAACCCCGAAGAAATGATCATTCAATTCGTGAATTTAAAAGCTGTTTTCGATGATGTTTTTTTTCTCCTTTTGTTGTTGTGAAAGACCTCGTAACGAATTTGTTTTGGGGGGGTCTTTATGGCACTCACCACACGCTCATTGTTGGGCTTGGGAGTAATAAATATGCGTCACGCACACTCCTCGTGATGCCGGTCAACTGCTCGAATTAATTTCAACTACTCAAAACAGAAGAAAAGCGAAATTAGGGAGAAATTGAAAGCTAACACTTTTTTTAGGTTAAATCTATTTCAGAGAAACAACATTTTATTATTGACGAATCGTTTCTATTTTTTTAAAGATTTTTTTTATTGTTTTTGCGGGGCAAAACTGGAAAATGAAAACGAAAATTTTTGGTTAATGAAAATCGAAAATGGGGGGCCAAAATTAGGAAATCACTAGAAACTCCCTAGACACATGGAGAACCAGTTTTTCCTGCTCAAAAGTCGTTCAGAAAATATGAAAAATGATTTTAAAAATCACTAGAAAAATGAACAATCAAATTTGAGATCCAAAACTGGAACTTGAGCACTGAAAAAACACTAGGATTCCCCTAGATGAATCAAAACCCGCTTTTTTGCTTTAAAAAATTACTAGAAAAACAAACAAAGGAATTTAAGGTCCAAAATTTGAACCCGAAAATTTAAAAAATCACTAGAAACCCCCAAGAAACTGGAACTTGGACACTGAAAAACCACTGGAAATCCCCCAGACGAATCAAAAACCTCTTTTTTTCTAAAAAAAAATACTAGAGAAAAACAAACAAAGAAATTTAAGGTCCAAATTCTGAACCAAAAAAATTAAAAAATCACTAGAAACCTCCCAGAAACTGGCACTTGGGCACTGAAAAACCACTAGAAATCCCCTAGACGAATCAAAAACGTGTTTTCCCCAAAAAATCATCAAAAAATTACTAGAAAACCAAACAAAGAAATTTAAAATCCAAAAACCGAACCAAAAAATTTTAAAATCCCTAGAAATCCGCCAGAACCTTATAAAAACCATTTTTTCTGTTTAAAAAGATCTCCAAAAAATGTAAAAATTCTTTGAAATAACAACTAGAAAATTTTCCAGAAAATTTCGGGACCCAAAAAAGAGGTCCCAAGCCCTCAAAAATCCCCAGAAAAGCCCAAAAACTTTCGAAAAAAATCTCAAAAAATTATTTGAACAAAACTATTTAAACAAAAACTTATGCCCCGAAGCCCATGAAACTGATAATTACCAAAAATTCCTCAATTTTCTCGGTTTTTCTTTCCGAAAAAAATGTCCCCACTCCCCACTGCACTTCCCCCCGGCGCCCCCACTCCTCAAATCCCCGATTTTCGGCCCTGGGCCCCGTGTGCTCGCCGCTATCACTGCATGATCCAGTTGAGATTCAAACTCTCACTCTTTCCCCGTAAAAAAACGTCGCCTTTCCACCGATCAAATGCCGCCCGGAAAATGTCCCTTTGTCCCCCGATAACAACACATTTAAACGTTCATCACAGGACGCCGTATCCCCGGCGACAGTGGGTCTTAAAATGTATTTGTCCGCGGATACATGAAGACAAGAATTCCGTTTGAGCCTTTGCTCAGAGACTAACCGGGGCGCAAGTGCGGCTGAGAGGGAACTGAGGACTGAGGGGCTACCGAGAGTTTTTCGGATAGCGGGAGACGCTCTACGGGTTACTCCGGCATCTTACTGGTGTACCCGCCGGGGGGAGAGCCCGGAGAGGAGAGAGAGAAAGAGATGACAAGATTTGTTGGTTTATTTTCAAGTGGGGGGAAGTGGTCTCTCACGATTTCAGGCGTTTCGGAGCACGCGAGTGTGGGTTTGAGACGGTGCAAGTAGGGGGGAACGCCTGGAGAGGGCGGCAGGTGTTGGGGCACGAGAGCCGGTGGTCTTTAGGGGGTGGAAATCATTGCGGCGCGGGGTGGGGGGTGAAGTGGGAAAACTGACCGATCAAATTGCCGTCTTTTTAATAACCGGTGTTGCTAGGAGTAAAATATATAGGGGAGGGTGGGGTAAAATGGACACTTTTCACTTTTTTAAAAATATTCATAACTCATAAATATATTTATCAATTGAGCTCAGTCTAGACTCATCACAAGGGGGAAGAATTGCCCTTTTTATTGAAAAAAAAAATGATCCAATTTCATTAACAATTCGATAAGTCATTAGCATTTGAAAAAAAGTAAAAAGTGTCCATTTTACCCCAACCTCCCCTATATAATAAAATTTTTTACAGGCCTAAAAATTTTTCGATAAAAATTTTTTGCACATTTACTGACCAGCAGTTTCGTTAATTACTCGCTAATGCATCAATGGAATTTTTTTTTAAATGGCCGAATTTTTTCAAAAATCGGTGGTGCCGCGATAACTTGAAAACAAGTGGGAAATTGCTGTTGTATTGTATATCGTGTAATTATTTTTGCTAGTAAATTAGCGATATGCTTCCGAACGGTTATTTTGCACATCATTTCCTTCTGTCATGTGTAATTCATTGTTTGTTTCATTTTATTAAATTGAATAAAATTTCTTTTCAACTAATTTTGTCAGATTTTCAACTTAGTTGAATGTTATCATCATCATTATTCTTATTATCCCTTTCTTCCATACAACCGATTGTCTTTTTTACGGTTCTATGTCTCCCCTCAGCCCTTCGATAAAATGTCAATAGAAGAATTTTATTTATACATACTTGAATGAATTTGAAACATCACATTTGAAGAAACCATCGGAAAGCTCACTTTCAGGGAAATTCATGAAAAATTCGAAATTTTCAACAATCATCATAAAAATCAAATCAACCAATATAGCTATCGTAATAATCTTTTAACTTCGACTTAATGGCATTGAAACAAACATTTTAAGCTATGATTGAATTCATTTGAAGCATGATATTCAAAGATATCCCCGGAATTCTGATTTCCAAAAAACACAAAATTTTTGCAAATTTTCAAAGAAAATAAAATAACGATTATTGCTATCGCCTTCATCTTCGAACTCGGTCAAAAGGACTTCCGAACAAATTGTTTAAGCCATCATTCAATGAATTCAGAACATGTTTTTAGTTATCGTGGGACGACCGATTGTCGAAAAAAATCGAAAATTAAAAAACTAATCGATGAATTAAATTTTAATTAATGGCGATTAANATGATCCAATTTCATTAACAATTCGATAAGTCATTAGCATTTGAAAAAAAGTAAAAAGTGTCCATTTTACCCCAACCTCCCCTATATAATAAAATTTTTTACAGGCCTAAAAATTTTTCGATAAAAATTTTTTGCACATTTACTGACCAGCAGTTTCGTTAATTACTCGCTAATGCATCAATGGAATTTTTTTTTAAATGGCCGAATTTTTTCAAAAATCGGTGGTGCCGCGATAACTTGAAAACAAGTGGGAAATTGCTGTTGTATTGTATATCGTGTAATTATTTTTGCTAGTAAATTAGCGATATGCTTCCGAACGGTTATTTTGCACATCATNTACATCTGAAAAAAAAAGATTGAATTCCAGCCATTCATCAGCGAACAATTGAAGAAAAACTTTGTTGCATGCGAGGTCTGAAAATTTCATTTTCGGAGTTTTTGGATAATACTGAATCGATATAAAACAAAAAATCCGAAACTTAAATTTGAACGATTACAAGCTTTAGTTCGGAAGCAAAACGTTCTGAATTCATTGAATCATAGCTTAAAAAATGGTTTCGATGTCCGTTTGAAATTTCGGATTTCATCCTTCCATTCGGCAGCAAAAATTGCGGGAAAAATCGCTATTGTTCAGACGAACTGCAGCGTAAAATGTTCCAGTGGAGAGCAAACAAATACTTCGCCCCGTCCGAAAACTGCATTCCCCATCACCCAACAATTTCCTAATCTCTCGTCTCCGTCGTAATGACGAAAACAAAGTCTCATGCGTTCGGGGCTTATCTGGAATTATCAGTAGCAACCTTTTCTATCTCCACGGCAGACGTCTGCCCTCTAGTTTAGTACCACCGATTCCGTCGAAGAGTTACGTTCGCCTGGGGATTGATTACAATGTCGTTCGACTATTCAGATTTAATTAATAAGTCCGGGGGATTGAAATCTCCACCTGCAGAGCTTCTCCAACCACTTGTTGTGCCTCAGGGGCGAATGCTCTTCAGCCCCGGCCCCAGCAACTGCTCCCCGAGGGTGTTGGAGGCCCTCAGGAATCCCGTCATCGGACACCTCCACGCGGAAATATTAAAGGTATAAAATGATGCACCTGAGGAGGAATGCTTAGAGCATTCGAAACGTAGTGCAATTTTGATTACTTAATTTTTTTTGAGCGTTTACTGCTGCTGACCTAAACATGGCCCAAAACTATTTCAACAATATTAAAGGTGATTTTGAAAAAAAATGGCAATTGCTTTCGTCTCCGTACAGCACAGCTATTTCTGTTAATAAATTATCATTACGCTTCGAAAGGTCATTCTGCGCTTCATTTTCTTCCATCGCATATCATTTCAGTCGCTAAGCGGTAAAACGGTTTAAGGTGGCTCTCCACTGGGACGAAAACGACAAAGTTCTCAAACAAGTCTTACTTGTGCCGAGAAAATAGTTTTTTAGAACTTATCAAAAAAGGATTTTTTGTGCCAAACATGCAAAGAGTGCGCCGGAATGAAAAATTTTTGTCGCAAAAATATACTTAGTAGTTCAATTATTTTGCTCCCGAAAAATCTTTGTTTTATGCGAAACAAGGGTAGTAGTTTTTCGTTTCGGCTGTCTAATGATCACAGACAACAAATGAACCCTTAAATGAAACAATCATAATGATATGATAGCAATCTTGTAACTTGGGGATAAAATATTTGTTGATAAATTTTCCTCTGTATGAGATATTTTCATGCTGAAAAGGCACCGTCTAGTGAGAATTATCCGCCTCTTGAGGAAAATATTTCGTCGCTGTCGAAAGCAGAACAATTATTCATGTTTGGGACTTTCAAATTCCAACCAACAAATTCTTTTTTTGGCAATTTTCAACTAGCAATTTTGTTGGCCCAAACATGACTTGTTTGACAACGTGTTTGTTTTTTTCTCAGTGTAGAGCTACTTGAAGTCGATTTTTACTATTGGTCAGTTTTCAGTGAATATCTCGGAATCTAAGGCAGATTGCAAAATTTTTGTTGCAACCTTTTTTGGAGAACGAATTTAGGGCTGCGAAAAAGGTAATTACAAAAATTCGGCTATCTCTCTTAGATTCCTCAAAAACTCAGCTGAGAGATAAGTTGACCTGAACCGATTTACCGCTTCGCTACTGATGTATCGTTTTAATCAATATTTTGGTCAATTGAATTATCTTTCTTCTTCAATCATTCTTTTTAAATTTTATGTAAGCATTAGAAATCTCAATACGAGGTCTATTAGCTGTTAAATAGTATTTACGGTTGAAGAAATGTTGAAAATTACTCGAAAAAGAATTTATGATTCTGAGGAAAGATTTAAGATAAAATTCCGTAATTTCAAAAATTACGGAAGACGTAAATTAAACAGATAATTTGAAGGGGAAATATTTTGACTTTGACATTTTCCGTGTTTAATACCTGCCCTCTCGATGTTTTTCGTAATTAGATGATGGACGAGATCAAATTGGGTATCAAGTACGCCTTTCAGACTGATAGTAGATTGACACTGGCGATAAGCGCGGCGGGACACGCGGGCATGGAGGCGTGTCTTGGAAATTTACTTGAACCCGGAGAGACTGTTTTGATTGTCAAAGGAGGAATTTGGGGGGACAGAGCTGCGGATATGGCTACCCGAGTTGGTGCACATGTGAGTTCAAATAATTACAATTAAACAAACCACAAAAAAATCATTGACACCTCCTAAAACCCTCAATTATCTGGCCAATGAGTGATTTTAGGGGAAAACATCGAAAGAACTTTTTGGTAGATGAGAAAATTTCAAATACAGAAAGTCTTGTGAAGTTTTCCTCTAAAATTTTTTCTTACCGAGATATTTAACAAATCTGTAAACATCATGCGCCTCTTTTGAAACATCTCGATAACAATTATTGAAGTCATCGTGATGACATGCGATGTGTAAGATAAAGGGATTTTTATGACAAATAAAATGGTTTTTACTCATGTCTCTACGACTTAAAATTCTCGAGACGTTATCATTCGTTCAAGTAAGTAGATTTGACCTTAAGTTTCTGAGAGAGCGCCTGCACCGTGGGTCACCTCCACTCGAGAGTGCATCCGTAGTGCATGTACACATGACTGTGGGCTTTGTATTCCCTCCCTGCGCCGTGGTCGACTGCGCAACTTCCGTTCGGGTTTTCGTTACATGAGATTTTCCAGGGATTAGTCTACCACAAATTTTGATAAGGCGAGCTGAGATGTTTGCACATCAAAAATACTAAGACGACTGTAGCCAACAGTCCCGGGCTATATGCAACCATTATGCATTTTGTTCCCATAGAAATGTCCCACTCTCACTCGAAATATCTTGATAACCATTGAGGAGTCATCGAGACAGGCCGGGTAAAAAATCAAGCTATTTTTATGACGAATAAAATGCTTTTTTACTCATGTCTCTACGACTTGAAATTCTCAAAACGTAATCATTTGGTTAACTAAGTAGCTCAAGACCTTTAGTTTCTGAGCGAGCGCCTCCATCGTGAGGCGCTCCTATCCCCGAACGTCCACATCCGGAGAACTACGACTCGTAGATATGCGAATTGAAAACCATTAAATTTATTATGAAATTCCCTACATTTGTCACACTGGACGCCTCGATGACTTCTCAATAGTCATCGAGATATTTAAATTGACAGTGGGGCATTGTGGCGACAGCGAGAGCACCTTCACTCGAGAGTGTATCCGTAGTACCCGTACACATGACCGCGGGCTTCGCATTCCCTCCATGCGCAGTGGTCAACTGCGCAACTTCCGTTCGGTTTTTCGTTACACGAGATTTACTAGGGATTACTCCCGCCCAAAATTTCGATAACGCGAGCCAATATGTTTACTCCTAAACAAATAGTTATTATTTCGTCTAGACAATCAAGTTTTGATGGAACAAATTCGCAGGTGGAGCTATTGACAACAGAGCTAGGAGTTGCATTCACCCTAGATGAGCTCGAGGTCGCCCTGAAGAGGTTCAGACCGACAGTCGTATTTTGCACACACGCTGAGTCCTCCACGGGATTGAAACAACCGTTGATGGGGGTTGGAGACCTAGTGCGCAAGTAAATAATTATTCAAGACATTTTCTTCTTTCGTAATGATAAATGTCGATGATTAATTGCTCAATGTGTGACCCTGTGACACACACAACTACGCAATCATCATTCGTTTCTTCCATTCCTTCTATTTTTTATTCTTGTATCGAATGGTTTAGGTATGACGCACTGTTGATTGTTGACACTGTCGCCTCACTCGGCGGGGATCCTTTCTTCATGGACGCGTGGAGCATCGATGCTGTGTACACAGGGAGTCAGAAAGTTCTCGGGGCACCGCCGGGAATCACTCCGGTGTCATTTGGACCCAGGGCAGAGTACGATAATTAGTTATTTTGTATTTTTCAATTTTTAGATTCGAAATGTGGGAAAAACTGGTGGTCTGGAGGAATAATTTCCGAAACAAATATTAGAGATTTGAGAATTTTCGGGGATGTGGTACAATACATGATTCAAAATGAATTTCAGTAATTTATACAGTAAATTCAATGGTTTATCAGTATAAACAATAATGTTAATTGTGAAAAATTTTTAGTGAGTTCACAGGGTGATTTAATTAAGAATATCCAAGTACTTTGACTTGTTTTTCTCCAGTGAAATGCTTTTCTACATTTGTAATCGAACATTTCATTCATTTTATTATTTTATTAGTTAATGATTTTATTATTTAAACTTTGCAGGTCTGAATTTAAATCTCGATATTAAACTGTTAGAAACCATTTTTACAATCTGAAATAAGAATTAGAAAGTTCACTTTTGGAAGAAGATTGATGAAATAATTAACAAATCGCAATTTTTTTTTAATTATGAATATTTTCTGTGAATAATTTGTAAACAATCAATTTTCCATCGTAAAATCACATGTTTGAAATGGTAACAAATTTAATCATATTCAAAATTTTACCAGAAATCGATTTTATACCCAAAACAATAAGGTTTCCGAAAGTTTAAACAATTCAATTATTTATTTGTAAACAACGAGTGTTCAAAAAAATAATTATTCAGTGCAAAACGTTGTTTAAATAACGCTGAACATTCATGATTTTTTTTTCAAGTTTTTCTCACGTAATTTAATTAACAAATTTGATGATTGAAAATGGTTGAATATAAACAAAAAGGAAATGGTTGAATCTATAGTGTAAAAGATACTTGGATATGCTTAATCTGTTGTTCACCTCATCAATATAATTCCGTGCTTAGAATATTGTCATCTCGTGTTTTCAGCACCAAATTAAAAATTAAAACTTCATTTGGAATATTGAGTCACAGCTTCTTTTTATTCATATCAGAAATTTTGTGTTTGGATCTTAATATTATTTGTTCAAAGTGAAAAAATCCATCATCATTTTCACTACATTGCATTCAGACTCTCCTATCCTTAACGTCAAAAATGTGAGATAATCTCATAATTATAGTTATTAATTCTAATCAACTTTGAAGAAAACCTTAGTAAACGCAATATTAAGAAAGTAGAATTATTATATTTTCCTCTGACCTAAATCATTTGGACAATTATGATTCGTTTATTCATGTTTTATAGAATGGCATTCAATTCCCCGAGTCGAAAAATTGGACCTGCCGAGTTAGAGGAGTCAGTAAATACGGAATCAACCTTCACCCGGCTGAAAACTTAGATTTTGGCGAAAGTCGACTTTCCCCCTGGAAAAACCGAAAATCTGACCCTTTGGCTCGGGGTGAAAAAAAAAATTGTTCAGTTTTCACTTTTTCTACATATTTTTGAGAGTTCTGAATAGCCCGTCGCTTAAATACTTAGAATCAACGTTCACCCGGCTAAAAAATTCGATTTTGACAAAAGTCGCCTTTCCCCCTGGAAAAACGGAAAATCTGACCCTTTGAAAATTTGAAAAAAAAACACTTTTTCAGTTTTCACTTTTTCCACATACTTCTGAGACTTCTGAATAGCCCGTCGCTTAAATAGTTGGAATCGACGTTCACCCGGCTAAAAAATTCGATTTTGGCGCAAGTCGACTTTTCCCCCGGAAAAACGGAAAATCTGACCCTTTGAAAATTTGAAAAAAAAACACTTTTTCAGTTTTCACTTTTTCCACATACTTCTGAGACTTCTGAATAGCCCGTCGCTTAAATAGTTGGAATCGACGTTTACCCGGCTAAAAAATTCGATTTTGGCGCAAGTCGACTTTTCCCCCGGAAAAACGGAAAATCTGACCCTTTGAAAATTTGAAAAAAAAACACTTTTTCAGTTTTCACTTTTTCCACATACTTCTGAGACTTCTGAATAGCCCGTCGCTTAAATAGTTGGAATCGACGTTTACCCGGCTAAAAAATTCGATTTTGGCGCAAGTCGACTTTTCCCCCGGAAAAACGGAAAATCTGACCCTTTGAAAATTTGAAAAAAAACACTTTTTCAGTTTTCACTTTTTCCACATACTTCTGAGACTTCTGAATAGCCCGTCGCTTAAATAGTTGGAATCAACGTTCACCCGGCTAAAAAATTCGATTTTGGCAAAAGTCGCCTTTCCCCCTGGAAAAACGGAAAATCTGACCCTTTGAAAATCTTAAAAAAAACACTTTTTCAGTTTTCACTTTTTCCACATACTCTTGAGAGTTATGAATAGCCCGTCGCTTAAATAGTTAGAATCAACGTTCACCCGGCTAAAAAATTCGATTTTGACAAAAGTCGCCTTTCCCCCTGGAAAAACGGAAAATCTGACCCTTTGAAAATCTTAAAAAAAACACTTTTTCAGTTTTCACTTTTTCCACATACTCTTGAGAGTTCTGAATAGTCCGTCGCTTAAGTAGTTGGAATCAACGTTCACCCGGCTAAAAAATTCAATTTTGACAAAAATCGCCTTTCCCTCTGGAAAAACCAAAAATCTGACCCTTTGGCGCCGGGTGAAAAAAAACCGCCTTACTTTCTCCATTCGTTCGAGATATCCACCACGTTCGCGTTCTCATTTTCGATTCTAGATATCGCCTATGCTTTTTTTCACAGGATCTGAATATTCTGACCCTTTGAATGCATTTATTTCTCCAGAAAAAAGATATTATCCCGAAAATTCAAGGTACCAGTCTACTACTGGGACATGAAACTCCTGGGGAACTACTGGAGCTGTTTCGACGAGCCTCAGCGCAATTACCACCACACGATAAGTGCGACACTGGTGTATGGATTGCGCGAGGGGCTGGCCCAGTTGGCTGAGGAAGGGCTCGAGAACTCCTGGAGGAGACACCAGAAGGCAGCTGAGTTTCTGAGGAAGGGTCTCACCAAATTGGGGGTCAAGTTCTTTGTCGATAATCCTGACCATCGAACGAATACTGTCACGTCGTTCTGCCTGCCCGAGGGGGTGGACGGGAGGGTCGTCATCAGAAGATGTCTCGAGAGGTAAAAAATATTTCAAAATCCTCTCATTTTACGAGAGTTTCGTCGGTCACCTCATCTAGCTGAGGTCATCTACGGTGAATGCAACTCCTAGCTCTGTTGTCAATAGCTCCACCTGCGAATTTGTTGCATCAAAACTTGATTGTCTAGACGAAATAATAACTATTTGTTTAGGAGTAAACGTATTGGCTCGCGTTATCGAAATTTTGGGCGGGAGTAATCCCTAGTAAATCTCGTGTAACGAAAAACCGAACGGAAGTTGCGCAGTTGACCACTGCGCATGGAGGGAATGCGAAGCCCGCGGTCATGTGTACGGGTACTACGGATGCACTCTCGAGTGAAGGTGCTCTCGCTGTCGCCACAATGCCCCACTGTCAATTTAAATATCTCGATGACTATTGAGAAGTCATCGAGGCGTCCAGTGCGACAAATGTAGGGAATTTCATAATAAATTTAATGGTTTTCAATTCGCATATCTACGAGTCGTAGTTCTCCGGATGTGGACGTTCGGGGATAGGAGCGCCTCACGATGGAGGCGCTCGCTCAGAAACTAAAGGTCTTGAGCTACTTAGTTAAACGAATGATTACGTTTCGAGAATTTCAAGTCGTAGAGACATGAGTAAAAAAGCATTTTATTCGTCATAAAAATACCTTGATTATTCACGCGACCTGTCTCGATGACTTCTCAATGGTTATCAATGGTTATCGAGTGAGAGTGGGACATTTCTATGGAAACAAAATGCATGATGGTTGCATATAGCCCGGGACTGTTGGCTACAGTCGTCTTAGTATTTTTGATGTGCAAACATCTCAGCTCGCCTTATCAAAATTTGTGGTAGACTAATCCCGGGAAAATCTCATGTAACGAAAACTCATGTAGTCGTAGAAACATGAGTAAAAAACCATTTTATTCGACATAATAATCCCTCGATTTTTTAAGCTACATTTTTCGATGACTTTCCACTGGTTACCAAGGCATTTCGTGTTTCAATTTTTCAATCTTTTGTTTGCAGGTTTAATGTCGAAATTTCTGGCGGATTGGGTCCAACTGCTGGAAGATTGTGCAGAATTGGAACAATGGGGGTCAATGCGAACCCCGAGAGGATCGCCGTGGCGCTCAGGGCCCTAGAAGAGGCTGTAAACTTCGCAAAATCTCAAAGCAAACTCTGAGAAACTAAAAAAACACCTCAGAATTACGTCAAAAATACTCAACTCATTGTGACTCTAGTTTAGGGTAATTAATTTTTTTGTTTAAAAAACAATACGAAGATTATAATTTTTAAAATTTTTTATTCAATGAAAAATACTGAAATCGGCGTACACTTTCCTCATAATAAATCCATAATAATTTTTCCACTCCCTTTTACGTATATCTGCCACCTTTCGTCGTCTCAACATTCAGAAAAATAGATAGAGTAAACGAAACAAAAAATGAGTGAAGGACAAAAATAATAATATTACGTAAAAATCTATTTTACCATCAGATTAATTGTGACAATGGTACAGTAGCCCTTAACTACATTATTACAATTTCTTTTACAATTTCTTATGCTTGTAATCATGTCAGCGAGTATGTAAGTAAATTTTTCAGATGTCAATAAAAAAATTTTTTATACAATTTTCAATGTTTCTTTCAAATTTACTCATAATTTATTTTCAATAATAAAGAGGAGCTTCGACTTTACCCGTTCAACGTCAGCCCAAGACTAATGGATTCATGATTAAAAAAATTAATCAATCGATTCATTCAATTTTTTTATTTTTCATGTCTTCGAATCGTTCAAAATTTATCCAGCAAAAATTGAACTTTTTTTTATTTAGGCCTCACATTTTTTTCTAATTGTTCAATACTCGAATTTTCGTTATGAGTGATTGTCGCAGGTGAATTACAAGGCTAAAATGTTTGTGTTCCTCATCATTTGTGATAAATTTTTTTTTCCATTGAATTGTTTAGGTGGGGGTTTGAGAGCGATAGCCAGGGAAATTGCAGTTGAAAATCTCCATTTATAACACAAGAATGGGGCAAAACGGGTGGTCTTTTTTATAATTCGACACTCCAGTCCGCCCCCCCCCTAATTTTCATCATTTTCTATCTCAAATTTAGAACTTTAAATTCTAAAAATGAAAATTCATGTGCGTAACTGAAAGAGTGAGTTATAAGGGGTCGATAATGACCCCAGGAGACAGTCAGGAAAATTTCCACTGAAAAACTCTGGCTATGAACCCCATTACCTTCATTCGTTCCAGAAATATTCAACAAAACAATTTTTTTCTCACTAATCAAGAAAACATGGGGCATAACGGGTCGTCTTTTTATTGAATTAAATGTTAAAGTTATCGATCTATCCAATGGAGTGACCCCCACCCCCCACCCGCAGCCTCAAATCAAATGTCGCTCTGAAAATTTTCAAATTTTCCGTTTTTCCCGCCAATTTTTTATTTTGTTAATAAACTTCATTATTTACATTTAATGATTATGTATGCGATTGTCGAGTAAAGGCACTTTGAATTATCGTATGAAGATAAAAATTAGAATTTCTCGAGGAGGAACATCACAAAGAAGTGGGAGTGGGAGTGACTGCGCATGTGCGAGTCTTGTGCAAGTGAGAACAGAGGAAAACAAAGGAGTCGCGTGTTTCTGCCGGCAGCAAGTGCTACTGGCGGATTTTGATAGCCAAATTGTGGTGAAAGTAGTCAGTGACGTGTGTTAAAAGGTTCTGTATTGATGAACAACGGATTTCGCGACGAAAATGGCGGAAATTCGAGGAAATTCCGGGGTTTTGGGGCCTTTGGGGTGGATGCGAGGTTAGGGCCATTGAAAACACTGCCAAACCCTTTGTTTTCATCAGTTATTGGATTGACTATTCTTCGATTGAGATTGTTAATGTTCCTCCTTGATTGTTCTCGTAATTTAATGGTAATTGTCGATTTAATTCCGTTTACAAAGGCTTCGTGGACATTTTGTTAAAAGTTCATTCATCTCAATAACGAGTGGTTTTGGGGGAAAATGTCAAAATTCCTATTTGTGGGGAATTTACAAGCTTTGAAAATTTTTCTAAATTCATTATTTTTCCCTCCGATTGAGTGGCATTGACTGCGCATGCGCGAGTGTTTGTGCAAGTGAGAACAGAGGAAAACAAAAGAGTCGCGTGTTTGTGCCGGCAGCAAGTGCTACTGGCGGATTTTGATAGCCAAATTGTGGTGAAAGTAGTCAGTGACGTGTGTTAAAAGGTTCTGTATTGATGAACAACGGATTTCGCGACGAAAATGGCGGAAATTCGAGGAAATTCCGGGGTTTTGGGGCCTTTGGGGTGGATGCGAGGTTAGGGCCATTGAAAACACTGCCAAACCCTTTGTTTTCATCAGTTATTGGATTGACTATTCTTCGATTGAGATTGTTAATGTTCCTCCTTGATTGTTCTCGTAATTTAATGGTAATTGTCGATTTAATTCCGTTTACAAAGGCTTCGTGGACATTTTGTTAAAAGTTCATTCATCTCAATAACGAGTGGTTTTGGGGGAAAATGTCAAAATTCCTATTTGTGGGGAATTTACAAGCTTTGAAAATTTTTCTAAATTCATTATTTTTCCCTCCGATTGAGTGGCATTGACTGCGCATGCGCGAGTGTTTGTGCAAGTGAGAACAGAGGAAAACAAAAGAGTCGCGTGTTTGTGCCGGCAGCAAGTGCTACTGGCGGATTTTGATAGCCAAATTGTGGTGAAAGTAGTCAGTGACGTGTGTTAAAAGGTTCTGTATTGATGAACAACGGATTTCGCGACGAAAATGGCGGAAATTCGAGGAAATTCCGGGGTTTTGGAGCCTTTGGGGTGAGTACGAGGTTAGGGCATTGAAAACTGCCAAACCCTTTGTTTTTATCAATTATTAACTCAACTACTCTCCGATTGCGTCTGTTAATGTTCCTCCTTGATCATTCCCAAAAGTTAACGATTATTGACCATTTATTTTCGGTCAGGAACAATTCAATGGATTTTTCGTTGCACTGAGTGAAAAAACAGATTTTTTGGGACTAAAAAATTAGTGTCACACCCATTTTTCTCGATAGATGAGGCAGAGGCTGAGAAGACTGAAAGAAATCAGATGATTTGTCACAAAATTCCAAATATTTCGATCGAGTTTGTGTCAATCGATAATGGTGACTGAAAATTTTTGCATATCTTGACAATTATTTATTGTCATCTGAAGAATTTGACGGTTTTCTTCGATATTCTAAGTCTTTCCGCCATTTATCGAAGCGAAAATCCAGTGGCAAGAATTGTTTTGTGGCAAGAGATGGAAAATTCAGTTGTTAAAAAGGTGAAACTTCAAAGTTTCGCCTCTTCATGACTCAATAATTTTCTCTCTCTTTAATTGATCACTTCGTCTTTGATGGCTACAGCCCCTGAATATTCCTCATCACCTCCAAAACCCTCACAGAGCTATTTTGGACTTTTTTCCCTCAATTTTATCTTGCTGATATCATTTTTCTAAAATTCAAGATTTTTTCATTTTTTGTCCTGTATTCGTAATTAATTCCCATTTGACTTTGATTGAATTTCGTCTTCGGTTCTAAATCCACTCTTGTCCAAAGTTGATTTGCCCATCGATTTTTAATAGTCGATTTTCACATTTTCCTCTAAACATCCCAAACCAATCGATTTAGGAAAAAAAGTCAAAAGACCTTTTTTGTAGAGAATCAAATTTCCGACAAAAAATCTCTCATAATATTTCCCCCTGCCACCTCTCATCACCGAGATAATTAACTGATTACATTCCACAACCCCATAATTGAAATTTCCCACAAAGTTTTTTTACGTTCCCCTCGGCATTTCAACAACTTGAAGCGATAAATGAATCCAACAGACGTCATTGGAAAGCCCGGGAAATTTCCGATTCCAAACTCTGGTCATAAACCCATTTTGCCCCAATACTTCTCTCGAAATCCCAAAAAAACAAAATTTGGGCGAAAATCCTATTTTCCGATAATTGAAATAATAACGGGGCAAAATGGATTCATGACCAGGGTTTCAAATCGGAAATTTTCCCACTAATTCAACGACACCATTACAAAAATGAATTATTCCTCAATACTACAGCAATCGGTATACCATAAATGACAATGAGAATATGAGAAGCTAGAATGAGTATGGAAGATTGAAAGATGATAGATGATAATTAAAGATGACAACGAGACAATTAATATTTAATAATTAATAATTAATAATTAATAAAATAAGTAAATTAGTAAAAGATAAGCAAAAATAATAATAATCGAATAAAACGATAAACCGATGACGCCCATCGAGGTTCTTCAGTCTTCTTTGGTTGCTGGGTAACTCGTCCAGTTGTGATCATTAATTAGATCATCAAAAGATTTCTTCAATCAATTATTTTCGATCATCCCCATTCTTTATTTTTTACAATTTTCACCCTAAAAAATTTACATTGATTAATCATCAATTGTCAACAATTCATCAATTTTTATGACGAAAGTAGAATTATAAATTTACAATTTTTAAAATTTTTGAGATTTTCGAAAAATTCTATTGATCAAAAAAATAATTTTCATCAATTAATCATCACAACCCTTTCCCTTCCCGATGTCCCACGACTTCCCTTCAATTTTCTACACTTGAATTAATATAAACAGACCCTTCAATAGAATCCAATTGATGAAAATTAACAAAAAAAAAATATGCAGTCTCGGTTAACCGAATGGAAGATGAAGGCAACTCAGTGCTTAATTGGAACGAGGAAAAAATCATTTTCTCCGTGACTCGCCAGATGTCTCGCTGATGAATCATCCCCCATCTCTCCATAACCTCAAAAACCCCAGAACGCTTTCCCGCCGAAAACAGCAACCTCTCGCATTTCCTCAATATCTCAAGCCCCTGAAGAGATGGGGATGGGGGGGATTCAACGGGTATCACTGGAAAGCCAGGAAAATTTCCGATCCCGAGCCCTGGTTTTGAACCCCTTTTGCCCCCATCAGTTACCCAACACCAAGAAGAAGCAAAACCTCGGGTGAAAATTGATTCAAAACCAGAGAAATAAACCGGAAATGTCTCTCTGACTATCTCCTCATTCCCCTCAAACCCCAGAATTGAAAAAAATAATAATCACCATAAATATTACCACACGCAACAATCTATCATCATTCCCTTAAACAGCTGAATAGCATCAATTCAGCTCAATTAGGGTTTATAAAAATTGATTTTTATACGCATTTCCTTCCAGCCAAAACAGGAAGGCGATAACATGTTCCTTTTTTCAAAATCAATTTCCATTAAGGAAAATGACACAGACAGCCTTGGAATTATTATTTTCTCCGCAAAACAAAAAGATACGCAAGAAATAAAAAAACCATCGCATCAATTTTGAACCTGTCAACGTGCTCAGCTGAGATCACGTGGTGTCACTGAGTGCTTAGGGTTCTTGGATGATGCGTGGTGACGTGTCTGTTGATGATGATGATGGCTATTGCGATGATTACGATGGTGTCTACGTGCACGTCTACACTGGCTGGTGCAGCAGTCATCAGCATCCGCAATACGCTCGCCGCGTTTCAATTGGCTTGCTATTGAGTTGCAGAGGGACCTGGGACAGCGTTTCCGGTCGCATCTCACTTCGCCGTTCTGCAAAAAAAGTCTATTTGAGGGCTTTCACTCGCCATTCATTGTTTTTGTCGATTACAATGGTTTCGTTCTTCAGGAAGCCCCTCTCCCTCCCCCCCCCTCCGTCTCCAGGGTTTGGGCCCTATACAAAGGTTGAGGCAGATTTTTCAAATCAATTGTGAAGACTCTTTCTGCTTTGGTGTTTGAATTTTGGGATTTTATTTTCATCGTCTTAGGAGATACCTCCAGAAAAGTCTGAGATGGACTACTGGGCCTGAACTGGGCCTCCATCAGGCCCGAGATAACGCCGATAAATCCAGAATTTCTTGTTACCGATTGAAATCCATAGGATATTTTTGTGAAAAAAATTGCCGAAGACGGGGATCGAACCCGCGATCTCTTGCAAAGTAGGCATACTCGCTACCACTGAGCCAAAGTATCCGGCAATGTTTTATGTATAATTTTAGCTTTTCATTTTGTTCATAAAAATTCTTCAATTTTTCACATTTCGTTGGTATTTCAGGGGAGAGGTGGATATTTCTTTGAAGAAAACTCATGATATTTAGAATTCGGGGAATTACCGAGCATCGACGCTTGACGCATTTGATCTCTCCATGCGAATGGATTTGAGGGAGGGGGGGGGGGATTGGGGCCCAAACCGGGGCCTGACATTGCGGGTACCGCCGATAATCCAGAATTTCTCGTTACCGATCGCAATCGATAGGATATTTTTGTGAAAAAAATTGCTGAAGACGGGGATCGAACCCGCGATCTCTCGCACAGTAGGCAGGCTCGCTACTACTGAGCCAGAGTGCTTGATAATGTGCAAACGTCTTACCTCTATTGTTCGTCATTAAAAGTTTTCAATTCTTGACGCTGTCGACATATTTCCAATGAGGAAATTTTATTGGAAAAAAAAAAAACGGTATGTTGAATTTCGGAAATTACCTTGCATCGACACTTGACGCATTTGATCTCCCCATGAGAATGGATTTTGGGGTGCCATTCTTTTCCGTTTTCGTAAGGGCCTCCCATCGGATATTTGCATCCTCCGTTGGCTAGAATCTCCTCGGGTGTGCGCTTGGACGAGTACAAGTGCAGGGAGATGGCTTGATCCTTGGGTAAGGATCCTTCAACGCCTGGATTTGTTGTTGGTGGGTTGGTACCACCTATCGGGATGACGCTGACCACTGGGCACTGCCTGCAGCACGCCTTCTTGTCCGGTCGAACTGCTATTTTTTCATCGCAGTCCAGGGTGGGACACTGCACCCGGGGACAGCGAACTTCAAGGCTCACGGGCTGTGGAAATAGATCCATTAATCAATTTTTGAACGATCTTAATGGGGGAAACCGTGTACTTACGTCACAGGTGCATATGGCGCAGGTGTCGAAGCCTGAAGGGGGTAGGTAGGGGTGCCATGAGGCACCGGCAATGTGGAACTGTCCGGCTAGGGTGCAGCCCTTGAAGGAACCCACATTGTTGGTTTCTCCCACGGTTTTGGGTCCGGGAGTGATCGCGAGGGAACTGGGGGTTGTCGTCGTCGAGTTGTCGGCTTGTGGCCCTTGAAATTAAAGGATAAGGATGCTTTTTATAAAGGAAATGGTGACTAAGGGCGAGTTTTCAAGGTTTCGCGACCTTGTCATGTTTAAATTTCCCGCCAATCAGGTGCAGCCAATCAAACAGGAGTACATGTGTTCAGAGAGAGTCGAGCTTCGATTGATCGAAGTGTTTTATGGTATTGGCTGAATCTAGGATCGAAAATTTATTTATCGAAGATCGATTAATCGTTTCAAGCGATACCATACGATTATACGCGCGGAAGATTTGAAATTTTTTTCGACTTACCTAAACAAACTGGGCAACAATGGCCAGCAGGTGCCTTGACCCTCCTGTGAGCCGGACAATTCATGGGTGGGCAGGGCACCGCATCACACTTGGCAACCCCCCTATGACAATGACACATCAAACAAGGATCGCTCTTGGCGGTCCACTGGGTGCCCTCCTCATAGAATCTCGTCTCGTGGAAGCAACTGGCGGTCTCAATCTCCGCGCTCGAAGGATGCAGACTATAAACCATCACACTAGCGACATCATTATCCGCGTAATGCGGAAGACAGCTCAGCGGGGCCCGGGTCTTGAACTGGCCCTTCAGCATTTTGGTGCTGACATTCCTGTTGACCGTCATGACCTCCAGGAAGCCGATCCCCGAGTCGATCCTGTAGAGTTCGATGGGTGAGAGCCCGGTGACTGATCCCTCGAGAACGTTTCCGTTGAACTCCTCAAGAAGTCTTCGCGAGACCGGGGCCCCCTGGGCCAGCAGGGGCATTGTCTCCAGGTACAACCTAAGAGTGGCCTCGTCGTTTTCGTCGCCATCGTCATCATCGGGGTCGTCCGGAAGTCCTCCGACTTCTAGCTCATAATGGAGAACGCAATCGGCGTCGATCGCCAGCCAGATCAGGCCGACATTGCCCCCGCTCCCAGCGGGCCTCAACAAAAATGGCGCCAAGGTGTCCTTGGCCTCCGCCACAGGGCGCTGCATGAGTCTTCCCTTCAGGGTGGAACCCAACGGCGACGCCGCGATGACCCCCAACTCCCCTTTGAAGAGAGGCTCCAGTAACCTAGGGCCCGGTCGCTCCAGGGTTCCATTTCCATTAGTCCCCGCAATCAAAGATGGCGTCAGATCCTCAAGCTCCGTCTTTCTCTTTCCGCCGTCATCAACGAGTGTCACCAGGGGGTTTTCGTCGTCAATTCCGGCGAGCTTCATCCCGTACCGCAGGGCTCCGAAGCGATCCAGGAAAGCCCAGGCCAGGCCCGAGCCTTCAGTGCCTGATTCCGGAGCGAGAAGGGCCTGAAAGACGTCGCAACTGGCCCGCGGACCAATGGGCCCTGCCAATCTCAACGCTTGAGGGTCCTTCCGCGAGGCGATGGTGATAGACAACTTGCCCCGGGACAGCAGACGCAGGTCCGCTCCCGACAGTGCGGAACGCACCTCCCCGAAGTTGATGTCGTTCGACGGTTTCTTGATGACGATCTCTTCGTTGAGAAGGGTGTAGTCTTTTTCGAGATGCTCGATGATGACGATCAGTGGGACAGCGATGATGTCTTCAGGGAAGAAGACGCCGTTGAAGGCGAGGGAGACGTGGATCGAGGGCGCTGACGTTGAGCTGACGGAGATGATGGCGGTGGCTGACGATCCGGTCATCATGGTCCTGTCGACTCCCATCGTCGGTTCCAGAAGAGAGGAGAACTGCTCGGTTGAGAGAGCCTTGTATCTGGACAGCTGACCGGTGAGCGACGAGGTGGACATCGTCGAGGTGACGGTCGTCGTCATCATGGTGGTGGTTGTACTCTCCCAAATCAGGGAGACGAACAACTGCTCCTCCCGGAGGATCTTCCGGTAGTCCCTCGGGACTCGTCTCCACACTCCGCACAGTTTTCCGGTGGCATTCTGATAGGTTCCGCCGACAGGATCAATTATTTGCTCTTCTAGAATCGATCCCTCGTCGTCGATGAACTGGAGAGTTCTGGGGCGAGGGGTCGAGGCACCCAGGTAGAACGAGTAGTAGAGGTTCTTGCGGTGGAACGTGAAGCGTCCGGTGGCGACGTACGAAGAGATTGAGGGATTTGGTTCCGTAGCGTCATCGTGCAGGTGGCGCGCCGTTCTGCTGCTTATCAGGGTAGCAAAATCTGGGGGAAGGAGAAGAGATTGTGAAGGTGGAAGTGCTGAGGTTACATCGCGGGAAATGTTCACCTCCCATTTCTTATATTCCGGTATCTTATATCGTTTATCATCAATGTCACCTCTGGACGAAGCTAGGTTGGGTCGCGAGGCCCTTACAGAAAGGACGATGCGCATGTGCGTTTGGAGGAGCTGCGCATGCGCAGAAGGGAGTGCGCGTCTATGTGCTGCGCAATATGTGGGGTAGATGGGGAGGGAGTAATAGGGATCGCACAGTGAATGCATCGGCCGCGATGGTAGCATAAGAAACCAGAGGACGCCTAGGGAATAATGTAAGAAATGAGAGGTTCCACCGTAAAAGGGCCGTCATATAGTGTTTTCCAGCGGAAATTTCCCCAGCTTTTCAACCAAAACAATAATACTTATGCATAGCAAGATTTTTTGCTCATCAACTCACGTTTTAAGCTCCTCTCCTCCTCCTCCAAAGTCTGCTGAATCGGCAAATCCTGAACAATCTCAGCACCTGAAAAATAAAAGTATAAAAATGCATTAACTTCATCGATGCTTTTATTAACAACTTGTCCATGTACATCACGTACAGCGAAATATATTCACACACATGCAGAATGGTTTCAAATTCACCAACAAGTTGAAGAATTAAAGTGCAATGAGAAGTCTCGGAATTTGCTCATTGGAATTGCGCCAGAGTCTTATCGATCATCATCATTGGCACGTGTGTAGATAGTTCACCCCCTCCCGTCCCCACCCTAAAAAAAGAAAAACCCGTATCCCTGGTTTCTAGGGAAATAGAGGAAAAAAAATCAACTCATGCGAAAGATCATGAAGCTAATGGGCGAGTCGGTGACAAAAAAATTGTCGCGACAATTATTATCATCATCCTTGACGAATTTGCTAATTAAATGAGGCCATAATTACATATTGAGGTCCCGGTGGTCGTAATTAGCCTTTTTAATGAGGTAAATTTATGGAATAATTAATTTGTTGTTGATATTGGTATTTTGGTCTTGACTCAATCGATTCTATTCTCCGCATCGCTTTTAATTCTCCCACTATTTACCACCCTTCTCCCCCCCCCCTTCCCCCTGGGTATCCAATCATTATGCATGCTAATATTTACATTTAGATTGCGCACGGTTTAATCGAAGTGACGCCATGCGGTAATATAACCGGCGCCATGGCGCTAAACCGTCGCGCCCGACTTCCCTACCATTTTGCATTCTTCTCGTATTATTCGATTTCTGATTAATTTTATTTATTTTTACAGTGCGGGATCATTTGCCGGACAGCGAGGCGACAATTGTTGGGATGGAAGGGGAGAGTGGAGATTTCCTGGAGAGCGGTGAGTTATTTTGAATTTAGGGTTGGTTTTGGGGATTTTTTTGAGGGAAATTTTTAGGGGAATTTTTTTCCGTGGACAGTTGAGATTGATCTGACTTTGTACAATTACCCTTTTACTCCCCTTTCGTATTGCCTCTCCCAGATAATGGGGGAAATCACTCGATTCAGGGGAAAATCGTTTTCTAGGGAATTTTGGATGCAGACGGAATGAGGAATGAAATTGGGGGGGAGATTTCTAGGGATTTTTTTTCAGAGGGGAAGCGAGAGGTAAAATGGGGAGTTCTAGGGTATTTTCCCGTTGAGATTGCTTTGGCTCCAAATAATTCTTATTTTCTTTTCATGCTGCCTCTCCTGGATAATGGAGGAAATCACTAGGTTTTTTAGAAAAAATTGCTAAAATTTTTAGATAAATTCATGAGGTTTTGAGAGAAAATAACTAGATTTCTAGAGAAAATTCGTATTCTAGTGAATTTTCAATGGCTCGGGACATTTAAGATGAAGGAGGCAGAATATTTCTAGGGGAAATTGTTTTCGGCATTCAGTGGGAAAGGGAGGGGTAAAATGGACTGTCTCAGGGTATTTTTCGGTTGAAATTACGTAGGCTTTCTCCAATAACTACTTTACCCCCCTCTTATGCTGCCCCTCCCAGATACTGCGAAAATCCCTAGCTTTCTAGGGCGAAAAACCGTTTCCTAGGGAATTTCATGGCGTTTCCGGGAGATCGACAAGTTGTTCAATATTTTCGGGGGTTTCGATGACCCCCGGAGGGTTTCGGGAGGTTCAATATGTTCGGGGATATCTCAGTGAACTTGACAGATTTACGGTAAAAAAACATCTCCAATGTGATCTTGGGGAAAAAAATCCCTAGGGAAAAATTCCAATCCCGTCGTTTTTCACCAAACTGATGGGTAAAACGGGTCACCGATGGTGACTATTTTATCTCTCGCTCTGTCTCTTCATCCCCCCAGCCGTCCAAAAAAATCACTAGATGTCTAGGGGAAAAATACGTTTTTAGGGATTTCCTAGAAAATTTCTTCATTCAACAGCTGGGGGATAATTCACGTGTAAACGTCCGGGAACATCGTTTCACTTGCCAAACTTTGATTTTCATCCATTAAGTAAACTAACGGGGCAAAATGGAACGCCAAGCATTGTTTGAAAACGTAAATTTCCCGGGCTATCAATCTGTGAGATAATAGCTTCCACTTGTTTACCCATTCCCAAGATAACCCACTGTTCATAATATCAAGACGAGTTTACGATTATCTCACGTGTCTAATCTGACGTTGAAATATAACTAAGGTATAAAATCACATCGGAGATGGCTATTCCTGGCATTTTTCACGTCAATGCACACGTTTCAATTTTAATGCGAACATCGATCGATTTATTGGCATTCGTCCAACCGAGTGAATGGACTTCAATCATAAGAAGAAATGAAAAAAATTAGTTTTGATTTTGAAGTGATTTTTGAAAAGTTGAAAAAAAAAATGTTTAATCGATGTCAAAAGACATAAAAATTCCACGCAAATGAATGAATTTATGATCCCCAACGGGGTTTTCTAAGCTAAATGGAGCAGTTAAGTAAATTTCCCCCCGGTACATAAACTACAATAATTATGCTAACGAAATAAATGCTACGCGGTTTTATAATAATTACTCTTGAACACTAGATCCATGAATAATTCATTTCTATTGACAGTGTCAGGTGGATACTATTTTTTTTTTCCTCTTATTTTTATTGATATTCATTTTTTCTCGCTCATCGTGATAAGTGGCACGTAGACGTGATGAAGTTGAATTCTTCGAGTTGAAGTGATTACACGGAGAGAAATATTTAATAAAAATAACGTATCTTTTCCGTAATTCTGGAGCGAAATTTGGTTGTAGGAAAATATTTACGGAACTGTCACGGAATTTTTCCGGAGCGTTCCGTAAATTTTATCTGAATCTCCTGTGGAAAATTACGATACCGTCACTTAAATTTTCTGAGTAGATTCCGTAATCGGTGAGTGAATTGTGAGTTCCGTAATTTTTACTGAACATTTCTCTCCGTGTATTCGAGATTATTCATTTGTTTTTAATTTTCCACTTTTTTTTTCTTGGAAAATATTCATTTGTCTGCAATTGTTGATGAAATTGCTGATGAAATTAATTGAAATGCAGTAATTTCAAATATTTCGTGGAAAAAAAATCACTAGGAAAAATTAAGATGAAATGTTTGTCTCGTGTACCTCAATACAACATGAAATTCATTAAATTAATTACAGAATTTTAAAGCGCGAATAATTAATACAAAGTAAATAGGAATTTACGAAAAAAAATCAAACATGGTGAAAAAAAAACTATTTGAAACTGTAAAAAAAACAGTTTACAGGTTTGCAACTATATCGAGAGCGTTGTGAGATCGTTTTGCGTTGGACAGATCGCCCGATTCGGTTAAATTCAAAGCCAAGTATGGAAAACTGGTTTTCCATCCACCCATAACCGGAGCACACAGTCTTTGCCCTCTTTATTCCCTCCAATTTTTTATACACTGCTTGCAATTTTTTTTCAACTTATCGTTGTTTATTTGTATCAACTGCGTCAATCCACCCAACAGCAGGCGCCAGACAGAGGATTCAGGCATTATTCCTTCACTTCCGCATTTTCCAAGTTTTCCCTTCATTCCGAAAAATTGAAACGGCAACCTTAGGATTTAAATTTGGCGCCATTCAATGGACGGGGACATTTTCGTTTCTAAACATTCGTCCTGAGTCCCTGTTGCGCTATTAGTTTGATACGGGAACGATTTTTTTTTTGCGGAATTGGTTTTTTTTTATATTTTGGGGTTTAATTCAAGATATTTTTGTGTTTCAAATTGAGAAATTTTTGGGTCTGAAGTTGAAATATTTTTGGGCCTCAAGTTAATACACTTGAATCTCAATTTGGGATACCTATGGGTCTGGATTCAAGACATTTTTCGATCTCGATCTAACAGATTTTTGGGCCTCAAGTTGAGAAGCTTTTGGGTCTTAAGTTGAAAATTTTTTGGGACTTAAGTTAAGGCACTTTTGAATCTCAATTTGGGACACCTATGGATCTAGATGTAAGACATTTTTAGGGGCTCAAGTTGAGAAGCTTTTGGGCCTTCAGGTGAAATATTTTTGGGTCTTAACTCGAGCCACTTTCAAATCTCGAATTACAACATCTATGAGTCTTAATTGAAGCCATCTTTGGGTCTGGATTCCAGATATTTTTTGGCCTTAAATTAAGACACTTTTGAATCTCAAATTAAGACACCTATGGGTCTGTATTCAAGACATTTTTCGATCCCGATCTAAGACATTTTTGGGCCTTAAGTTGAGAAAATTTGGGGTCTTCAGTTTAAATATTTTTGGGTCTTAACTTGATACACTTTCAAATCTCAAATTAAAACACCTATGAGTGTTCCAGATATTTTTGGGCCTCAAGTTGACGAGTTTTTGGGTCCTCAGTTGAAACATTTTTGGGCCTTAAGTGTAAAAAACAGTTTGAATCTTAAATTAAGATATTTTTGGGCATCAAGTTGAAACATTTTTTAGCTTTCTTTAAGGCACGTCTGAATTTCAAGTTAAGACACCTATGGGTTTTAACCTAATACATTTTTGGGTCTCAAAGAATTAGAGGAACGTCAAGTGTTTCACTTTAAGACCGAAGAATGTCTTAAATTCAGACCCAAGATTGTTTTGAGAAGAGAGCCATAGGCGTCTTGGGTTGAGGCACTTACATTGTAAAATGGGAAAAGAATTTTAACAAACGATTTTTATCAGTAATTTACAATTACAAAAAGTCATCAAGAATATCTACAAAATATCATATTCAGACTGTAATCATATGCGAATGACCCCATTGCATTACGCAAGTCATTTTCATCATCAAAAGAAATATTTTTCAATTGTTGTTGATAATGATTAATGATTTTCATTCGTTGTGAATCGCTTGAAATCATCAATAAAAATTTATGAATTGATTATTAACAGAAATAATGATTCAATTGAATTTCCGAGTTTAATTTGAAAATTTGGAAAAATTAATGATTTCATGATAATGATGATGATAATAACGATAATGATGATTATGATGATTCCAGTGAAATCCAGGACTCGTTCATCATTAAAATTTAGAGGAAGTCATTCTCATGATAAAAAAAAATTTCAAGTATTGTTGATGATGACCATCAATTTTTAATCGTTGTGAATGATTTGCAGTCATCGGAAAAACATGAGTTGATTATTAACAAAAGTAATGAATAAACGAAAAAATCATTGAATCGATTACGATGGTGACGATGACAATAATGATGTTTACTGATAAAATTCTCGAGTCATCGTCCATAATTAAGAATAAGATCATTAAGAAATTACTGATGAGGCATTATTAGTGATCATAAAATAAAAAAAGAAATTGTAAATTTTTAATTAGAAAACAAATTCTCATTGTCGTATCCACTCACGCCTAACATCGTCACTCTATCCTGTCTACAATTCGAGGAATTACCGCAGTGCAAGGTTAATCAATAGTTGACAGCCCGAGTTATTCGATTTAACGCGTTACATCATCGATATAATTCAGATTATTTCATATCAGAATTAAATTAAGTCATCCTGCCATTCATAAGTAGTTCCCACCACCAAAAATATTGTGAAATTGAAAAAATTACAAACATTTCTCAAAAAAAAAAATTAATCCCTTCAAAATCATTTTTTGTGAATTTTTAACAACTATTTTGAACATTGAAAATATGCATAAAAATAGTAAAAATAGTAATTGATTTAGAGCATTAAAAATCACGAGAAATTGCGTCTACTGACGTGCCACCTAAAAAAAATTTTCACAGAATTACTGAATGATTTATAGATCCGTTAAATCATAAATATTGATAAATGAAAAGGGGGAAAAATCGCTAATAATAAAAATATCGAGGAGAAGAAGTTAAAAGAAGAAGGGCAATCGCGCGTGAGATTGATCGTGAGACATGACTTGTCACGGGGGAATGCCAACGGGAGCGATCGTCGATAAATGATTTATAACCGCGATTGGTTTCACAATGTTAACATAAATAAAAAACAAACAGAGGTGGAAAAAATGTGCGATTGTCCTCTTTCTCTGCTTGCATTATTTTGAAATTCCAAGCGAGGAATTTGAAATTGGCGCCATTTCGTAGACGGGGAAATTTCCGTTTTTAAATACTGGTTACAGGCCCATTTGGCTCCGGTGGGTCTAAGAATTTCTTGGAGAATGAAATTATGTTTTCCCTGCTTGCATTATTTTGAAATTCCCAGCGAGGAATTTGTAATTGGCGCCATTTCGTAGATAGGGAAATTTTAGTTTCCGAATAATGGTTGCAGGCCCATTTTGCCCCGGTAGTTCTACGAATTTTCGGAAAATGAAATTATGCGGAAAAAAAATTTTGGGTGCATTTTAAAAACTCATGACACTTTACTCGGGACTATTCGCTGAAGTTGGGTTAATATCTGATGTAAGGCCCACGAGAGTCTTAAATTCAGACACGAAAATCCCTTTTATTAAGATTGAAAAGTGTCTTAACATAAGGCCCGAATTTCGTTTGAGTTCAGAACTAAAAATGTCCTGAATTGAAATCAAGTGTCTTGAGACCCTTTTGGGTCTGATTCGGAATTAGATTTTAAGACTTAATTTGAAACATTTTTTCATCTCATGTTCCGGCATTTTTGGGTCTTAATGTAGGACTTTATGGGTCTGAAGTTCGGACAGATTAAAACGTTGAATTAGGATATCTTTGAGTCTTAATTTAAGGCATTTCTGAATCTGAACACATGACAAATTTGAGCCTTAATTTAAAATATTTTTGGGTCTTAATTCAATATATTTTTCGGTCTGTCTTTGAAAAGTTCTTGGGCCTGAATTTAAGGCACTTATGGGCCTCACTGTAGGCCATTTTTGGAGCCGAATTCAAGACAAATTTGGGCTTTAATTTAAGGCACTTATGGGCCTCATTTTAAGACATTTTTGGGTCTAAATCAGAACAAATTTGGGCCTTAATTAAAGCTACTTTTTCGTATTAATTTAAGCCATTTTCAGATCTGACTTTGGAAAGTTCTTGGGCCTTAATTTAAGACGCTTATGGGCCTTCCGTTAGGACATTTTTCCCTATATTTAAATTACTTTTCAGTCCCAATTTAAGACATTTTCGGATCCAACTTTGCAAAATCCTTGGGGCTTAATGCAGTTCTAGGTCTTACTTTAAGACATTTTTGGCTATGAATTCGAGACAAATCGGGGCCTTAAGCCATATTCAAGTCTCATTCCAAGATATTTTTGGGTCTAAATAATGTTTAAGTTCATGGCCTGTGTTGCTGAGTTCAGTGCCTTCTAGTCACTTAATCGAAATCTATCTATGACTGTTCAGACCATTCCACGAAATATCGCAATGGAATGTGCCCATCAATTTTTTCCTGTTGTGTTAATCGTTCAATTAAACTCGTATTACTCACTGTAATCTCCTGGACACGATTTACAGCATCTTCCGGGTAATAATACTGGCTCCTCGCACATTAATTTCGGGCACTCGTTCTTTATGTTTCGACATTGCACTCGTGCTATTATTCTTCTCTTCTTTTGTATCTGCAAAAAAAAAATACACAGAATTTTTTTATGTATCAATTCTGCATTTTTCATTCTGAAAAATTATAGAATTCCTGTTTTGAATACTTTTGCGATTTTTAAAATTATTTCCGACGTTTTTATCTCACGCAAAACAAAAAAAAAACAAAAAACAAATTTTTGCACCTTAAAGCCATTTAAATTAATTGCCATTTTGATTAAATAATCAACTAATTAAATTCAATATTGACAAGTTTAGAATAATGTAGAAATGATCAAAATATGGAATGATTGATTTCCTCAAAATATTTTCCCCTTTTTTTCATGAAAAAAGTTTTTTTTCTCAATTCTGAAAAATTATCAAATTCAACCTGTGACTCCTTTATAATTTTAGTAACTCTTGATGTATTTACCTCACGAAGACTTGCATAAAAACATCTAGAAACAAAATTTTTAAAAATCCCTTGAAGAATTAAAAATACTCTCTAATTGAATTGGACTAATTAACGAATTGAAGAAATGAAATTTAAAAAAAATTAAAACCATCCACAAAATTATCAGACAACAAAATGCTCAATTTTCCCCCTCAAAATATTATAAACATCAACATTTTTGTTATAAAAAAGAAAAGTAAATTAATTCTACCCAATTTATTTCGCAGATGCGTTTTAGAAATCATTGAACGAGTGAGGAATTAAAAAATAAATCATTTGAATTAATGCGGAATGCGAGTGCATTTGTGCTCGACAGAATAAAAAAGTGGCGGAAGGGGGGGGGGCGAGCGGGACGGGTGGGGCAGAGGGAGAGGGAGGGATAACGAGGCTCATAGAGTACAAGGCATGTACCCGGAGCGGAGGCTCGTCGTCTTTCGTCGTCGTCTTCGTCGTCGGTTCGAAACCAAACGCGTGCGACCTCGTGTACGTCATCGATATTTATAAAGTCGACAAGAGTTTCTTCCACTACACAAACATGTACACATTCACTGGCTTTACAATGCAATACACAATAAAATGCCGGCCGGCATTGGTACATTATTCAACACATGTTTTGAGGCTTTTTTTTACTGTCTTTTTCACTTTTTTGAATGAGGTTTCGGTCTTTTGAATGAATAACGAATATTTCTCTATTTCTTCATTGATATTTTTTTCTTGGGAATCAATTGTTAACAATTATTAGTAATTATTAACAACTATTTGCGATTTTTTTTTTCGTTTTTTTATGTAATTGAAAATTATTTAAACATTTTTTTTGCATTGAAATGAAAACTTGAACAATTGTGTGTGAATATTCCTCACCATTTGGGAATTGTTCGAGGTTTTTTTTTTTAAATAAGAAGTTATGAGAGAAAATTCAAGAACTAATTGTTAACAACTATTAATAATTATATACAACTTTTTACGATTTTTTTCATTTTTTTATATAATTGAAAATTATTTAAACATTTTTTTTTTGCATTGAAATAAAAAATTTATGATGAATTTTTGAATTTAGGATTTGATTTCATGCGTTATATTCATGCGTGAATATTTCTATTTGCGAATTTTTCGAGGTTTTTTTTCTTAAACAAAAAGTTATGAGAGAAAATTCAAGAAATAATTGTCAACAACTATTATTAACAACTATTAATAATTATTAACAATTATTTGCGATTTTTTTTTCGTTTTTTTGATGGATTAGAAAATTATTTGAACATTTTTTTGCACTGAAATGCTAAATTGAACATGAATGTTTATCATTTAGGATTCGATTTCATGCGTTAGGAAAATTGAACAATTGTGTGTAAATATTCCTCACTATTGGCAAATTTTTCAAGGGTTTTCTTTAATAAACAAGAAATTGTGGGAGAAAATTCAAGAACTAATTGTTCTTTTATTGGAAAATTGAAAGTTTTAAATTGAAAATAATGTTCGAAAAATAATTTATACTCATTATTTAAAATGAATTATTAACAATTATTTTAGGATCCTTTACAATTTTTCAAATAATTTTTTTAGTACTTTTACATTGAGTTAAAAATTATTTAAGCGAATTGTTCAATAAAAATGATGAAAAATTGAAGATTAACCCCTTTTTCCCCATTTATCATCTCATTTTCAATTAAAAAAATTGGACTTATATCCCCTCATCCCTGAATATTTTAAATATTTTTTTTAGACTTTTCCAATAAAAAAAATCTTTATTAAATGTTAAAAATTTAAATAAAAAAAAAATTCTTTTTGCTAAGAAATAAAGGTTCTCTTGAGGAAAAAAATTGTTATCAATATGAAAAATGGATTAATTAATAAATTCAATTTAACGATGAGTGCGCAAAAATTTATATAGACCCCTGAGCAATAAAAAATATCTTATACAAGGGGGCAACAGCTATCAATAGCTCGTGTTTCACACACAAGAGTGGCGCGCGCGACTGTCACACGCTCGCTAATAATAATATATTAGCGGGGCATAGTTTGAACTCCACCTCGCCCATATCCCAACACGACACAATTATTTATAAACAAATTTCCGATCCTCAACGCCAAAAAAGAGGAGCGAAAAAGAGTTTTGAAATTTTAATTATCCATTTTTTATGACCTAAAGTGAAGAAAAAAATTTATGAAAAATTTATTTGGACCCGAAATATCTTGAAAAAGTGTCCCTTGACATTTCCCGATTTATCGGCGGTAAATTTGAATTTATAAGGTGCAAATTGTTGGGTACAATAATTCATTGAATGTCGAGGCGAGCGTAACATGTAATAAACGACCGCAGAGAGAGTAGTCCCCACTGAGATTGTGGGTGTCATACGATATCTGTGGATAACTCGATAGTCTGCGCTTCCCTAATTCCCACTTTTAACGCTCTGGAGGTGAATGCAAGGAGTATTAAAGACGATGGCATACCGCACAATATCGTGGGAAATTATGCTGTTATTTAATTTTTTACTCAATTTTTCCCCTCTTCATTCTTCTATTTTACATAATTTTATACGTTAGGGATATCCAAGTGTGTTTTATAGTTTCGTACAGAGCACACTATATATCAGGGATAACTATGTCCGTAAATTATAATTACTGTTAAATTATTAAGTAGCCAATTCATCAAGTAGTCAAATTCCGAATCATTTATTAATCAGTAATTTAGTTTGGAAGATTGACAATTATTTCGACAATCGAAAATCCTTTATAAGAAATTTAGCATTATTAACTGGATAAAAAAATTTCAGTTCTATATTCTAAAATATTTAATTTCATTCATTTCATTCAGTGAAAAAAAAAAAATAGCAAAGTGATTAAAAATTTAGATTATCAATCATTTTGGTATTTTTTAATTTCGATTAGTATATTTGAACCTTAATCAATGTAAGTCGTGGATTCTTTTAATATTGAAGAAATTGTCAATTAAATTGTGTGAGAATATGAAAAAAAAACATGAATATTCAGTGTCATTCAAATTTTGCACGTAATTAATATTTTTATAAACATTCGTTGCTTATAAATAAATAATTGAAATTGTTTAAACTTTCGGCAACCTAATTTTTTTAGACTTGAAATCGATTTCTGGTAAAATTCTGAATATGAAGAAATTTTTTACGTTTCCGAACAAATGATTTTTATGGTGGAAAATTGATTGTTTATAAATTATGTATAAAAAATGCCCGTAATGTTCAAAAACTGGGATTTTATAATTATTTCATCAATTCTCCTATGAAAGTAAATTTTCTAATTTTTCAGATTTTTAAAATACTTTCTAACAGTTCAATATGGAGACTCAAATTCAGACCTGTAGAGTTTAAATAATAAAATCATTGTAAAATGTCCGAAAATTTGGGGGCAAATGCGGCTCAAATGACAGCTCTGATGGTCGAATACAAAAGTAGAAAAGCCTTTCACTGGAGAAAAAATAGCTGAAGTACTTGGATATTCTTAAAAAAGATCATTTGTTTTTTAGAATTTTTCAAAAATTTCCAACAATGATTTTGAAATGATTGTTTTTGTCAATGATTTCTCTTTGAATGGTGGAAGGAATTCATGAATATCGCTATTTAATTATCTCCAGAATGAGTTATGAGATCGAAAAAAGGAAAATCGGAATCCATGAGGGGGTCTAAGGGCCGAGCCCCCATTCAAAAGAAATGAACAAACGAATAATAATGAAGATTGAGACCAGGTCAGGGTTAGGGGCAAAGCCCCCACTAAAAAAGGAGCCCTGGGATATAGGGGCCGAGCCCCGGTGGGGGCTGGGGGCGGAGCCCCCGTTCGAAAGAAACAAACAAACAAATAATAATGAAGATTGAGCCCAGATGAGCGTCAGGGGCAAAGCCCCCACTAAAAAAGGAGCCCTGGGGTGTAGGGGCCGAGCGCCCGGGGGGCTAGGGGCGGAGCCCCCATTTGAAAGAAGTAAACAAACAAATATTAATGAAGACTGAGACCAGGCCAGGGTCAGGGGCAAAGCCCCCACTAAAAAAAGAGACCTGACGTCGGATAGGGGTAAAGCCCCCTGGAGGGGCTCCGCCCCCCCCCCCGAAAAACCATAATGTTAAAAAAGTGACAAAAAAAACATGATAAGATCAGAAGGAATGCAGAAAATTTATAAACAACAGAACTAGTGAATTAATTGGGCTGATTTACCACTAGTGCGTTTCGAAGACGTCAATTAAGAAAATTACAGATTGAATGACAACGAGGTCTTACGAGAAAAATATTGAACGATACCATTCAAGAAAATTCTTTGCTTCAGGAAAAGTCAAGAATGCGATGAATTGCTAGGCGACAAAAAAAAACGCATCAATCATAGCGTCATCAACGAAATTGATGCTCTTGTCGAGCTATTCAATCTAGTGCGTGGTTGTTAAATATATAACAGTACTTCCATCATAATTTTTTAAATTGAAAACTTTTCAATTAAAAAATTTTTTTTTAATTAAAAATGATTTTTTTTTATTTTTCAATTTTTTTTAATTTAGAAATTTTCCTAGAATTATATAACAAATAATTCTTAAATATATTCCAGTACTTCGATCATTTTTTTAATTACGAATTTTTCAATTAAAATTTTTTTTTTCATTTTCCAATTTTCAACAATTTAGAAATTTCTCTAAAATTATACAAAAAAAATGTAGTTAATGCTGAAGTAGTTCAACACATTAGAAAGTCGTGGAAATTCTCTAGCTGCTCTATCCATCGCATTATTTACTACATGGCTAGAGCGAGCCAAGTGGAAATGTTGGAAACTGGCACCTAAGCTATGCACAAAATTTACAAATGAAAAGGTCTCTCGCGGTGGGGCAGGGGGGGGGATAATTATGGTATGGGGGGAACGTGTCTTGTAAATTGGGGAATGCGAGATCAAAGGGAATATCGTGTAGTTCACTCGTGTAAGAAAATGAGAAAACTTGCTATTCTCTTTTTTCTCTTATTCTCTGAAACCCGAAAATCCTCGAGGTGGGGTCGAAAATGACCCCATCGTACAGCCGGGAAAATTTCCGGTTCCGAACCCCGGTTATGAGCCCATTTTGCCCCGTTGGGTGTCAAAACGTCCGAAAAATCAGTTTTTGGAAAAAAAATGGGTTTTCGACGATTTTGAGATAATCAATGGGGCAAAATGGGTTCAACATCAGGGTTCGGAAGCGGAAATGTTCCGGGTTATCTAGTGGCGCCAATTTTGAATTCCGATTCGTCGATTTTTGATTTTCGTTTGAATGGAAAATTCGTTTTTCATGGGTTTTGGTGTTAAAATATTGTAAATAAATGTTGTTTTTGTTTACTTACGGGTATGCATTCACACTTTATGCAGTACATGACCCCGAAGGGGGGTCCCAGGTCCGCGTACCACGTGGAACCCAACTCCCTAATCTGTTTTCCAAAGGTGCATTCTGGAAAATGAAGAAAAAAACGGTTTCAATTTTTAATTTCTGGTTATTTACTCCTGAGTCACATAGACTCTCGCCTCGGCGGTTGAGAGCGTAATAGATACTCAGGATCCCTCTCACTCATTCCTCGATGCAACGTCAATATTTGCCGAGCTGTCTCCGTGCGAATTGTATGCACTTTGCGTGCGTTTTAAACATTTTTTTCTCCCCCCCCCCCCAAGATTTTTATCTCGAGAATATACTCGAATCATCATAAAACCATTTACTTAGACGCCAATATCACTTGTGGGGTCTAAATATACCCTGTGTATTATTTGATCACTTAGGAACTTCTGGTTTTAGGAAAAAAAATGTTTTGAATTTTCTGGGGGTGGAATTGATTATCTATTTTTTTAAAGCGGAAGATTTTGGAAAATGTAAAAAGTAGAAATTTTGGTAGAAAAAAATAATTGAACATTTTTTAACCACTGTATAATAATCAAAAATTCAAATTGAAAAAAATAGAAAAGTCAATACTGTTTGAAAAAAATGAGAGATTACTATTTTTTAAAGACACGAAAAATGAAATTTTTAACAAAAAAAAAATTCAATTTTGAAAGGAAAAATTGAAGAATTTCATTCTTGAAGAAATTTAAAAAAAAATTTACAGGAATGGAAAATTTCAAATTAAAAAAAAAGAAAAAGTTGCAATTTTTAAAAACATGAAGAAAAACTAAAAATAATCTGAATAATCTAATCTATTTTTTTATTTCTTCAGTTTTTAAAGAAATGAGAAGAAAATAATTTTTGAAAGAATGAAAACAGTCAATTTTTTTTTAATGAAAAAAAAAACTTCGAAAAATCAAATAATTTTAATTTTTGAAAAAATGTAAAAGTTTCAATTTTTTTAAAAAGAAAACACTACAGTTTTTCAAAACATGAAATAAATGTAATCACCAAAAAAATTGCAAATTTTGAAAAATATCGCAAATTTTCCTCCCTACATAAACCCAAAAATGTCCCCCACCCTCTCGCCCCGAGCGCCGCCCTCATCACTTCCACTCATGCTCTCCTTGATTTTTCCCTCGAAAATCCACCACTGGCACGTTATATATCCGCGAAATGAAGGAGAGCAACGACCCCGTACTGCTACGGCTGCAACAGCCGGCGCGTCGCGTCGCCTCACCGACGCTTCTCATTTTCGGATGTCCACGGGGCGTCGTCAACTGACATTCGCCAATCAAAATTTCCCCGAGGTGTGAGTAACACCGCGGGAATTTCAAAAAAACCAACCAAAACATTTAAATTTCCCCAGCGCCATCATTTTCCCGCGTTTCTGGGGTTGGCGGGGGAGGAAGGGGGTTGATCGAGGGTGTCATTGGACATCGCGGAAAATTTCCGATCCCGACCACTGGTCATAAACCTTCCCACCCCAATTAGACGCCTCGACACGTATCCAAAATGATCCCCAAATTTTCGGTTTCAATAAAAAACGGAATAAAAATAAGAAATACCCTCTAACCAGAAATGATGCAAAAGTCCCCGAAAAAAATTGCTCCAATAAATCAAACTTATCTAACGTAACCCCTGAGAACGTAAACACCACTTGAAACTGAAAAATCGTGTCATCAGAGAAAAAAAAGCCCCCGGCAAAATAGAAAAAAATAAACATTTGATGTTGGCATTCGCAGTGGCACTCACACCCGAATGTGAGTAAATAAAAAAAAAATCAGCGAGAGGGAAAAAAAATCTAATCCAAAAATAAAGTCCCCTGCCCTGCGAGACGAATCAGCGCCACGACGTCTACTGGGACGTTCTCACTATTTCCTAACCTTTTCTCCTAAACTGTCACGTCGATTCGTCTCGTTGTTTGCGGGTAATGCCGCATTGTATAAAAGCATTTTACCTTATCCCCTCCCCTGGCTTTGGATTTGAGAGATGTTGTCTGACTATCCCAGACGGTATAAACGTTTGTCTCGTGACGGGCAACACGTCATGTTTTAATTTGCGCAATAACAATTCCGGTTGAATCATCGATTCAATGATTTTTCCACTGCCAAGAGCTTTTCCGGGGTTTTTCACGATAGGGGTGTGAAATGCGGGGGTATGGGCGTCAGGAGGGGGTAGAGGAAGGGCTCTGATCTTTTGATTTGAGAGGTCGAAAGTTGAAATCGGTGAAAAATTGACGGAGTTATCGGGAAATTTGTAGTTTTAGAGGAAAACGGATTTTCCGGTGTTTTCCCGAGAATTTCCCATCATTTTTCTGCGGTTAGGGGTGCAGGGAAACTTGTCAGTGGAGGGATTAATGGATGGCTTCACGTCATTTTGTGCTATGCTGTCGCGGAAAAATGCGAGAAATAATTAGGAAAATTCTGTGGGAGAAGGAAAATAGGTTTTCCTTGTTCTCAAAATAATTTTCTCATTTTCTTGCACACGAGTGCATGACATGAGGCCAGTAGGTGGAAGAATGCGTTGAAAATTTTACGGGCTTTCTACTGGTGCTAATAGAGGTGAACAATACGGAGAAAAAGCGGAAAATCTTGTGGAAATTTGCGGGAAGTTTTCCATTTTCGTATTTTCATCAGTGATGAATTTAGGGGAGAGGGTTATTAAATGCGGAAATCGACGAGGAATTTTTATGATTCGCCCTCAGGTGAGGTGAAAATCCGGAAATGAAAAAGCGCGAAATCGAATTTGCTATTTTCAGAATTTTCCGTTGGTACTAATGAACATGTGGGAAATTTTAAGGAAACACCAGGAGAGTGGGAAAACTACAATTGTACATTTGTTTTGGTGAAAAATTCAATAAACAAGGTCATTAAGTGGTGATATTTCATCAGAAATTCCTTTGTTTTCTTGCAAATTCAAGTGAAAATACGAAAAATTTCAAAAGAAAATGCGAATAACACAATTTTCCATTTTCCGAATTTTCCCCGCTGCAACTCAAACTGAGAAGTTCCCAGATAATGAAATTGGCCAGAAATTTGATTGGCTTTCCATTGGTACGAACGAAAATATCGGAAAACCTTAAGGAAAAATGGAAAATCTGGATTTTCACATTTTCTTCAGTAAAAAAATCAATAAACAAAACCATCAAGTGGCGATATTCATCATAAATTCCTTCATTTTACTACAGACCCAAGAAAAAATCTGGAAAATTGCAAGAGAGAATCCGGAAAACCTCATGGAAAAGTGGAAAATCTATATTTCCACATTTTCTTGAGTAAAAAATTCAATAAACAAAACCATCAAGTGGCGATATTCATAAAAAATTCCTTTATTTTCCTACAGACTCCCGAAAAACTCTGGAAAATTGCAAGAGAAAATCTGAAAACCCCAATTTTCCATTTTCCGAATTTTCCCCGCTGAAACTCAAGCTAAAAAGGTCACCCGTAGTGAAATCAGCCGGAAATTCCCATCTATCCATTTCCACCTACCCCACCCCCTCGTAATCCATATTTTTCCGGTCTACTTAATTTTTAACCTCTCAAAAACCTTTTTTTTTGCAATCTTGTTTGCCTCGTCTACCTTTACACATCTCCACTTCCACTGGCGTATGCGATGGTGCGACGCGGCAATGCGCGACTATATATCTTTAGATTCCGTCTAACTTTAGTCCTCGGTGTCGAGGGGGAGACCAAAAACCAAACACTCCTCTCTCTCTCTTTTTCGTCTGTCAGACTATACTACTTCGTTTACTCGGGTACTAATACGAGTCTTTTCCCTGCGAAATGACGTAACCATCACCTCGTAACCTTCGCAGTTATAATATTAAGATACAACCCCTCCGACGATCTTTTAATAGATTTTTTTTGCGTTCCCGAGGATGAGAAAAAATACGTAATTGGAGCAAATCAATCATGAGTTGTTTTTAACCTCGAAATTTTCGCATTTCCATCATTTCTCAGGCGAAATATCAAAGACAGCGGGAAAATTCAGAAGGGCGAAGTTGCTCAGCATGAGAGGACAATTTTCCGAGCATTTTTCCCCATCTCCAACCCTTGATGAGATAATTAGCGATTAAAAACTGTGCTCCGATATTCTTGAGAACTAACTGAGCTCCAGGAATTTATGACCAACTTTTCCAGTGACAGAGGTCACGTGACCCTCCGGTGAAATTGATCTCTCATGAAAATTAAGGTTCACCCGGATGAAGATCAAATCACGTTCAATGGATAAATCGGAAAAAATCCGGCTCCGAAACCTGGTCATGAACGCCTTTTCATCAATTACTTCCCGAGATATTTGAGAAAAACATTTCCGAAGTTGTGACGTCACTGAACTCCCCAAATGTTTTATTTCTAATATACGAAGAACCCATAGAGAGAATTGAGCTTATGACCAGTGTTTTGGAAACGCCGGGAGGTCACCGTCCCAATGGGACAGGTCACGTGACTCTCCGATTAACTCCATTTTTCCATGAAAATTAAATCTCATTCCCGAAAGTTCCCCATTTCCACAATTTTCCGGGTGAAATATCAGCAATATCGGGGAAATGCATACCACCAAAGTTGCTCAGCACGAGACGACAATTTTTCATCACCCAAACATTTTTCCATCATCTCCAAGACTTGACGAGATAATTAATGATTAATGAGTTAATTAAAACACGTCGACATTTTTCCTCTCGGAAAATGATTTTTTCCAATGTGTTCATCGTCTTATCGTCGCCGCCCACACATTTACATGCCCCTGAGCCAAGATGACTGGATCCACTAGTGAGTTTTCTTGCCGAAAATAAAAAAAAAAATATCACCCGGTGACACAACGATCGATCGTTTGCCGGTACGACTATCTCTCGTTTTGTCGATTTATTTTTATAACCACCGAGGCACAACATCCGGCCGTATTACCTAGACGCTTCACGTGGGTGGAGTGTCTCGGGGTGAGGAGAAGGGGCGGGGGGGAGCATAATTATCGGGGTAATAAATAAAAATTACCATGATTTGAGTTTGTAAATGGGAAGAAAGCTCAGTGGATCGGAATGAAAGGGGATTGGATAGATCGGGAAAAATTCGCTTCCA